CAACAGCACCTTGATTTGTCCATCAGAGAGTCGGTACCAGGCCCAGTTAGAACCATCCACACTGTGGGACAAACTATAACTCATCACCCAGTGGTCACCATCATACCTCCCCTGAGCCACCACTTTGCTCACTGTGGTTTCCCGTCCAAAGTAAACCTGCAGCCATTGGTTGGGATCATTTTTGCGCGCACACCAGGCCCCTACCCTACCCTTACTCGGGACTGTATTGAGGCGAGATTGCTGAGGAGCATGATTGGCGTCATACGATGTTGACGCTGACAATGCACTGTCACTCAGATGGCCACTCTCCATTCCCAGGGACAGAAAGCAACTGCAACCTTTAAGAAAATATCAACCAAATACTTCAGTTAAGTCCAACAAATAGTGGGTACACTGGACACCAGAACCAGAGTTCCAGGATTGACAGCACTTGGTGGCATAACAACTTTCGCTTCATCATAAGCTTAAGACTGTTCTACTGCCCTTGGAGTTGAAATGACTTCAAACTTAAACATCCGACATCTTCCATGTTCCCCTACAAACTCATGTCGCCAAAACCATGTGACGTGTGAAGTTACAAGGTGAACTTTAGTGTTTTGCTTCTTGCTTGTTAAAGAAAATGTTCCTAATTCGAAGTAAGACGTACAGAAAATTAATTTCTTATGACCACTTTGTAATGAACGGTTCAGAAAAAAAAATATAGAATTGTTCGTNACCCTATTCTATAACCACACTCCTTTTACATCTACTGTTAGGCCACCATACTGCTACTGCTGCTACTAACTTACGATCATACTCCTCTCGCAATTACTTCTTCTGCTACTATTACTGACGTTAGTAGTGACGCTGCTACTGCTTCTACTAACGGAACCACTGCTACTACATATACTGCTACTGTCAATACTACCACACACTCTCACTCCCATTTCAGTAATACCGACTCTGCTACTGCTACTACTGCCTATACCAATGTCACCGTTACAATATACCTTTAATTACAGTACTTTCTTAATTTTACTAAAGCTGCTTTTGGCAAAGACACTGGCACCTCCAACTACTAATACCACCCCTTGCTACTGACCCTACTGCTGCTACTACTTTTGCCAATACTGTTGCTACTACAGTTGAACGTTGCTATTTCGAACTCTCAGGGGAAAGGAAAAATAGTTCGAAATAGCGGGAGTTCGAAAGAGCCGATTAAAAAAGAAAGAAGGGCAAATCCAAGTGAAAGAATTTTTAGTCCGAAATACCAGTAAGTCCGAAATAACTAACTTCGAAATAAGGGGATCCCACTGTATTACTTTCGCTACAGCTTGCTAACTCTGCTAGTTCTGCTTCCATCACTGCCAATGACGTAAAAGCCAAACATAAGAAGATTCTTACGTGGTTGACGGCTTTGCATGAGTGGAATGCGCAAAAAGATCTCACTGGGACCTTCATATCTCTTTTGCTGTTCTTGTGCTATCCAGGATGGTTTGCTTGGTTGTGCGTAACCAATAAGAGAAAAGGAACCTCGAAAGTCTGTCAGAATAGGATCCACGGCACCCAGCCTCTTAAGGGCACCAAAAGCAGGCGAAATGTAGGTTGATCCTGCATCTTGAATGGCCACCAAAACGATTTTACTGCAGGGAATTAGGGTGGATTCTTTACTAAAGAATTATTGAATTACTTTGATTAAGACCTAAATAAAGTTTTTGTATAAAATTATGTCCTCAAACATTTCATCAAATTCCTCACTCTTTACTCGGCAGTTGCGTTTTTTGTTCACTCGTAAGTTTTTTTTTCACACGAACGTGCATAGCAATCACGAAAACTACTGGTGGCACTGCGTAAGAGAGAAAAACAGTTATGCCGTTACATTGTACTGAACTGAATTCGGGAGCTCTCAGTGGCTATGGGGTCGCACTAGTTTGCTGAAGATTATATGATGTACAACAACTGATCAACTCGTAAATTGGCATTTCTTTGACACTTAATACGGTGACCTTTTTAATTGAAACTCAAATAAAAGTTAATTGTAAACAATTTCCACGGTAATCAAATTCTCATTTTCAGTAAACGTGGGACGAAAAAGGTGCCTTAGCTACGGTTGGAAAGGGAAAATGCATAGCATAAATCCGAAAGATGGCGATAAGGCGGCGGAGGGAGGGAAAAATGTTTTCGCCAAGAGATATACTCGCTGTGATGGTGAAAGCAAGTGGGAATATTTAATAATGCGACCAGTCTTTTGTACTAGCGGACAGATTACGCTCTTCAACATGATTGGCTCTTATGACACATGACCAATCACCATCGGATTAAAAATATGTGCCTTGACTAAAATGGGTCAACGTATCGACATAAATGACATTATGCCTTGGCTTGATGTTTGGTTATAAGTAACCCTGTAATTACTGTAATCTGCGGAAGGCAACTAAAAAACAACAAGAGTAATAAAGATATAAAAATAACAACGGAAACAAAACAACGACAACACGAAACTTTTTTATTGGTACTCACTCTCCATTTATGGCGTTTAGGTAGTCTCTCAAGGCGGTACCAGAGGACGAGACACCGTAAGTGTCAAACCATTTTGACCCAAGCACTGTACCTTCATGCCAAAAATATCAAGGCACAAATCACATCAACCTCTTATTTTTTTAAATTGTAAATAAACTCATGTGTGTCGATTTTGTCTTAGTGCAAGAATCACCATTTGTGTCAAAACGTTTTGAATCAAGCACTGCTCCTGCGAGCGAAAAATGCCAAGGCATCTGTCATACCAACCTTCTTTATGTTGGAAATGTAAATATTCAATTAACCATCCGTTGAAGATTATTTGAGGTGTCTCTTTCCCAGGCAGGAATTATTGTGACTTTTTTATTGTTTGGTTTTTTGTGTGTCGGCCAGTACGACATGCGATATAAAGACACTGCCCCCGATGAAAAAAGAGAGAAAAAATAGCTTGAAAACAAGTTATTATTTATTTCACTCATGCAGTTTAAAGGAATGTTTTACCCGTTTTAGCGTCCACAACAACAACATTATGTCCTCTGCTGTGAGGGGAGTAATCATTTCCATTGACTATGATGTAAGCGATGCCACATCCACCAGCCTTTCCTGGATCATCACAACCTTCGCTGCGAACGCGAATGTCCAAGAAGGAAACTACAAGAAACGAGCCAGTAACTCAGAAAAATGTTATGATACGTAAACAACAATTTGATATTTCCATCTTAAAACTTCGCATGTTATGAGCGCAACAAGATCTTGCTTTAATAATGAATTATGTGAAAATTATTTATTTCATGCTAAAAAGATATTATCATTTGATGTTTGGTGTTGTTCCCCTTAGCGTGAAAACGTGCATTGGTGACTGAGAGGAATATCTGTTGTCTAATCACTCTGCAGTGAAACGAAAACAAAATAATTCCTAACTTAGTGTAAGTAAGAAAACACCAGTCATATAGGAGGGGTCATCTCGTTTATTGACCAGACATAAATTGCCCTAGGATAGTTATTAACACAATAAACGTAGTAAACAAAAACACGGAAATTTATTAAAACAAAATTTCCAAAATGACCTGATCAAAAGCGGAGATGCCGTCGAAGTGACAACTCCTAACGGACAAACTCCTTAAATGTTGACTTCTTAACAAAATTACGTAACTTCCATACCAACGAATCCACAGACCAGCACAAAACTATCTTACAATATCAACGTGAAAAATTCTATTTCTTATATTCTCTATTTTCCACTTGCCCTCCAAATTTAACATAGACTATTGATGTGAAATGCTTTTGGGAATATGCAGACCTCTCAAAAGCAATTGACAACAATAGTATATGTAAAATTTTGGGGGGCAAACAGAGTGAATTTTGGGTATTGGAAAATACATAATAGAAATGCTCTCTAGACACGCTAGCTGAATTTAACAAATAATTAGGTTTCGACTGTGCTCTGTTTTGTTGTAAGCGGCTTCTATTTCTGTTTTAATAATGTGACCATTTCAAGTTGCAATATATTCGCCTTTGTGATGACTTAAAATACTTTTTGCTGTGTAATGATTTAGTCATTTCGGGTTGTACTCGCTTCCTTTAAGTAAAGCCTTTCATAACTGTAAAACAAGTATATAAAGAAGCTACGCAACGGTTTATGCATCTCAGTTGTACAGCCTAAATTTTTCAAGTTCTTCGTTTGTAATCCGGGTCAATCTTCTCCATCGTTAACCATCCTTTTTCCTTTATGGTTTAATATCGCCTCTTTGGTGTTTTTCTATCTTAGTTAGCGTTTGTTTCCAGGATTGCTTCAATTCAAAAGTAATTTTGTACGTGGCCAAAATTACTTAAAATATAATGACTGAGCTCTTTTAAATATTTAAGCCTTTGTTGAGAATATCACAAGATCTCCGAAAGGTTTCAATTACTTACCGAGAATGGATCTCGCTTGAACAGCGCTTCGCTCCTCAAGAGCCAGTTCTCCATTGGCCCTTAATGGCTGAAGCATAAAGAATAAAAGGTCATAAGACATTGAATTTTGTAGCGAAAATGGTCCTAGTAAGGGGAAAGTTAATTAAACTGAATACAAGACTGAAAACAAGCTGCAAGATGGCATGTTGAAGATAGCGAATAGCACTGATACTTGGAAAATTTCTTTTCATTATGTCCCAATGAGAAGTTGTCTGTGGACGTTAAAATTGCTTCTCCAAATGCGCGACATAACCTCAAGACACAACTTCATTTACCTTGGAAACACATGGATACACAGGTTAATTTGTAGGCATGAAAATAACAATAATAGTTTGGAAAAAAAAAACGATTGAAATGACAATTCCAATGTAAAGTTGTTTGTTGGAGTCGAAAATTAAAAGAGCAATGGGGTTGCTTACCGTTTTGCCAGTTGGGAAGCTCAGCTTCCCGGAAAAGGCAGATAAAAGGCACAAAGAAAATAATCGCCACAATATTTAGGCAAATAATATCGTAGTAGAAACGTTAGAGAATGGCAAGGCAAAAAGTAGAGCTCACTCCGCGAACGTGAAACTTTGAGGTCAGATTATTCATAGCCACGCTTTTGTGACGTTCTCTGAATAAAAATGACATTGATAGACAAACGCTTGGTTTTAACATCCAAAGTTATACTGTTCAGAACCAAGAAATATACCAACGCTTGGGACTAAATGCTGTTAGTAGAATTCTACTTGAACACTAATGCAAGTGCTGCTGATCTGGTTCGGGCTGAGTGATTGTATACTATGTAGCGAAATGGCAACGTGTGTTTTTCGTTTTTCCAAAGTTTTGAAGGAACATTTTAGTGCAAATGGTAACTGAATTCCTGGGAAGATAAAAAGAAGGGCATTAACGGTTTCTTGACTGAAAAAACGTTAAATTATTGAAAACACGATGTGCCCGCGCGCACAACTTCAAATTCACATGACAACTCAATCCGAGCGATTTTTCTAAGGCGCGAAGTTTAATAATACGTCGAGAAATAATTGGAAACGGTTATTTGAAGTAATTGTCAGTTAGAATTCTACTAAAACTATTAGATTATTCGCTCTCGATTTTTATGAGGTGATATCACCTCATAGAAATCTCGAGCTTATGATCTTATTGTTGATTGGTGTTAACTGCGGGTCGGTACATAACATGGACCCCCTCAATCTGAACCTCTTCTGGATCCCCTCAATCTGGACCTCTTCTGGAACCCCTTCTGGACCCCATTCTGGACCCCTATTTTTCTTCCAAAAAATATGAGCTCCTAGCTGATTTAAGTGATTAAACTTAGAACATACGACGATGGAGTCTACTTAAGTAGTGAAGTAAAATGCGAAGAATTAATGAATCCACGCAGCATGATGTCTGGAATAATGCTGCCATTATAGACAAAAGAAAGGTTACGACTCAGAATTACCGAATAACTGCAAAATTTATTTTAAAAAAATAATAGAACAATAAAATACGCGAGATCGAAACTGATCACCAAGACCTAAACAAAAAGTCTCCCCCTTGACAGCCATACATTTCTTTTAAAGTTGGTGAAATTAACGTCGCCAAGTTGAATTCTAGTTATTTTGATTTCGTTTGCTCTCGATAGAGGCACAGAGAGAGTGTTGTTTTTTCCTTCTGCGAGCAATAGAAAAGAAAACACTCGTTTAATATGCTTATCTTAGAGTAACATCATTACGGCAATATGTTCAGTTCGTGCTGGTTTTAGTACCGACCTTAGAAGTACAGCCTAAACTGGGCCCACAGAAAAATACGTTGTTCAGAGTAAAGCCGCACTAAATTGCAGAGCGATTCATTCTGTTTTTTGCGCCTTACATTTGCTAAAAGAATTTCATTTTATTTTCGAAGAATTCGAACATCAATTTAGAGAACAAATTATTGATTGTTCAAACGTCTCTGTTTACAAATTCACTTACCTGATTCGCTTGAGCGATTTTGGCCTCTAGATCAGCAACACGGACCAAAAAGATCAACAAAATTATTCCCAAGCAACGGGCCATTCCTTCAGATTGAAAAACAGTCTCACTTAACTGATTCTTTACTTTTATTTTACGAAAACTCAAGAGTAGAAACCAGAACTCCCACGTAGTAGCTATAAATATAGCAATAAAATGATTCATGAATTGAATAGAGTGATAAACGTTGGCTATTGTTCAGATAGCGAGAAAATTCTCGCTCAAATTATTTATAGCGCTAACATCTTAGTGATGTAATATTGTGCATATCAACAAGTGATTAAACCCCAGTTTTATACAGTTGCTAATTCATACTTAGATTCGCCGGCCAAAAAATTACGACTAGTATCTATTAAGTGTAAATATGCCTTTAACTCGCCGGTTTCAATGCATGGCTAAGTTTATAAGCATTGCGTGAATGGCCACTCAAGCAAGGACATCTTGCGTAAGTCAAAATAAGTATAATTACTTAAACGACGATAAATTAAATTCAAATTCGAACCTTGAAAATGGGAAAGAGAGAAAAGAAGACTCCGAGGGAATGAAGCAAGCCCAGGGGGATGGGCTGTATAATAAGCTATACAACAATGATAACATTTTGGTAAATATTGATACGATTTTACAATACTGCCTACAAAGCTAGATGACCGCTCACAAATCAGATTAGAATAAATTGAACTAGCTACAGGTTGTTCTGATTCCGTATTTGGAAATATTGGTCTCGCTCTTTTTTGCAAGTTCAGGGTTGGTCTAAATCTAAGAAAGTTTTGAACCGTAATAGAAGAGTTACGATGAATTTTGCTTGCTCTTACCTCGGTCCGCTATTACGCATACATGCGTCTTGTTCAACCGTACTGTCTCTTACGCACACATTACCATTCAGGATCAAACGAACTCGCATGGAGTTCATTCCATTGTAAATCCTTCTCTCTTCGTCCCACCGCATGTAATAGACGCGAGGGAAACAAAGTAATCTGCAGAATCACATTTTAAACTAAGAAATATTCGAAATTAAACATTGGCTCATGCTTGGCTTGCGTATATCGTGTATACCTATGCACGCGAGAAGTTTGGAGAGCACGAGAGAAGCGTAAGGCCCGTTCCAAACGCCGCTCCATTCATGCG